CCACTGGGAAAACTAGAAGCTGTAAAACCAACTAATTTTCAAGTTATTGTTTGAGGAAATGGTTTGCCTTGTTGTCTTATCCTTTTCATAGATTATTGTGCATTTTCACGGCTTACTTGTTGGACAAAGGCGCATCTGGAAAGGCTGAACCTACCAGGTCTGCTCCTGGTGTTCTCGTCCCGGATCTGATGTTATTACAAAAACATTTGCTGGCAGCAGAGAAGGATGAAAAAGATGCCAATGTTAAACTTCTATACAGAGCCTAGAAGAGAACGGGTATTGTTTCAAGAGTAGAGTGGTATAGAACTGATTGCCTCATCGTTGTTGTTGTGACCACCTTTCATATACTGATTCCTGTGAATTTCTAAAACTCCATTGTTAAAGGAGTTGAACATTTGCTTGCAGAATTGCTTGAATGATGTCTCTTATATATCCTACAGTTCACAGCTCTTTTATGCATCTCCAATATCCATTATCTTCATAACGGTCTTTGCATTTGGTTGCAGAATCCCAGATACCTGCTCTCTTCACTCACTAGACAGAAATAACCGTAGCAAACGCCAGGAACCCTCTTTGTCGCCAGCTGGTACTGGTGTGGTACTGCTGGTGGGACCAGTCCCGGATGACTGGGAGGCTGCCGGTGCCGCGCAGCCTGCAGACTGCGGCTGCTGGACCTGTGCGGAGCAGCCCCATCTCGGTCGCAGGGTGCAGCGTGGGCTCGACTCCCAGACTGTCATTAATTGCCACAGCATTTTGTAGCTAGTTAGAGCATTTGCCACTTCTCCAGTCCATCAAGGGTAATATATTACTGCAGAAATCCTATGACAAAATCCTTCATTTGCAACTTTCACATTTTTACTGCTTAATTCCCTTGGAGGTTTTTACCTTGGGAGCACTGTGAATTAGCTTGACAGTTTAAATAACTGTGCACATGTGTTTCCTATTGTAAGAAGAATGCAAGATGAGAATATGAAAGTTAAGCTTATTCTATATGTGCCATTTGGACAATATACACCCAATTCCTTGGGCATCTATTATTGCTAGGGGATGAAAAATGACATGTCCCTCTGCCTGCCATGAGGTCCTCCGCCGAGATCAAAACACTTTTATTCAAGCTCATAAGCTTGGATGTAAACAGAAGCTAACGTGACTAGCATAGTCAGGTGGCTGGGATAGATCACTCTGCTGCTACAATAAGAGCTCGTACTCTGATGTCAAATGCTGCCCGGTGTGGACTTGAGCAAAACAAAGCAAATAAGAAAATAATACACGTTGACCCATTTCGGTGACTGGGAGCACATATTAGTCAATTTGTAATAGTGCCACTTTCCTGGAAGAGACGTTACCAGTTTAAAATCAGAATATCCATCAACGTGTCTGAATTGTATTATCTGGGTCTTGCATCTTACTTCTCTGCCTTTTTTGTTTGCCCTTGATCTGCCTTGTATGACTCTAGCTGTTTCTGTTCCTAATGTTGCTTCCGAGAGTGCTTTCTCATGCTCGCCTCTCCTGCTGCTGTTATATTGAAAGTGGTGTAGCTACCGTGCTGTAAATAAAATATTTTGGGTTTAATCATTGATATTTGCCATTTATCCATAATTCCTGCTTACCATTTATCTATAATTCCTCTGTGCCATTCCAGAGATGGCACAAAGGTTAACAGGGTATCACATCAGCCACTCCATTTGGGAAAGCTCTTCTACCATCCTGGCTGCAAGAGCAGCTCTCCATCTAGCTCGGGCTAAACACATAGTGTCTGACCACTGCACCCCTCCCATAACTGGCATGTTAATAACGGAGCTCTGTTACCTGCCTTCACCAGTGGACAGCAGAGGAACTAAGAGCTGACTTCCCAAAGGTAGTAAAAAACTCTCTATCACCAAAAGGACCTGAAATCTGCCCTCCCAAATTCCACACAGTTTTCTTTCTCCACCCTGGGTCCTCTTTTCTTTAAAAAACCCGTGGAAATTACATACTTTGAAGCTGTACATTGCATTAGAGGCTTTTTTCCTCGCTATTGAGAGTCTGGCCACAGCTGTCTCTGTCCAAAGATGCTCAGTTCAGCTGTAATCATTATCAACTATAATAAGATTTTTGGCTTCTCCATCCAGGCAATAGAGATTGCATGACCCACACAATAGGTGTAATTATTGTCAGGGTGGGTTGCTGAGCTAGCAGCCTTCTCAACAACTTTAGCCTTTTTTCAAGCACTTAAATCGTGTAGGTCAGAATCACTTAATATTAAATACTGATTTTTTTTTTAATAATAGTTTTACAACAATAGTGTATCACCTGATCTAGGTTTTTTGTTTTTTTCTTTTTTCCCCTGGATACAGGGATTCTTTAATGTAGATAGACTCTTAACTACAGAAATATTACTGTCATGGGTGCCAGGTCTGAGACCCCTTTGCTTCTGTTTCTCTCTGCACACCTGGTGGTGTGGTCGTTTCTCTGTGGTGGAGCCACGGTACCTGGGGATGAGCACCTGTAAGCATTCTTCTGTCCTGATTTAAAAAGCTCTTAAAGTTACTCACTGGCACAGTAATTAGAAATCAGAAAGTTTGGGGGACTGTTGCCCTGCATGCCTGTCTGCTCGTGTCTGTTCTTTGGGGCTGTATTTCCAATCCTCTCGTGAGAGAGCCCACTTTTTCTGAATGAAAGCGATGGAGAGCTATGAGGGGTTGCAAAGGTTCTTCGCAGCAGCTTCACGTGTCTAAATAATGGCTCCATCCAGCATGCGAAAGCCCTTTGGTCCCGAGACTATAAAATATATCCTCTCCTGTTCTGCCGTGTCCAAATGGGAGCCTCTTGAAAGGACACCGTGGAAGGAATGCATAAATTTTCAAGTGACAAATCTCAGAGCTTTGTAACAGTCTGTGGGTTGGTTTGGGTTTTTTTTTCTTTTCTCTCCGTGAATTCTCCAAAGTTCCCACATCCTTATTTAACAAGAGAAATTGGGGTCTCTCGTGGGAGATTCGAAGTAGCTTGGCTTGGCGTGATGGAGTGCCAGGGAGGGCACGGGTACTTTCCAGGAGCAGCTAATAACTTTAAATTCTCCTTAGGCGTGATGCCAGGACGGAGAGATTTTTCATCAACAGAGACACACGGATGGCTTCTCCTCGATTTCCAGCTGTCTGCAGGCGCCCCACACTTGGGAGATGCCTTGGCCCTGCTTGTGGAGCAGGAGTCTCAGGCTCAAAACCAGAGCTGGCTGGGGGTGTGTGCTTTTAACCGGCATGTAATCCGTGCCAAGTGGGGCATTTCAGGAAAGCTGGATAACTCTGCTCATGGATTTGAGTTCATTCCATCTAATTTTGACTGGGGAAAATAAAAAGAGCATTTAAAAAATGTTTAAACTTTTTGAACTTACTACCAATGAGACTTTCTTTCCTCATTTAAAAATGAAGTTTTCTTTTGGAAATCAGTATTGTTTTCTTTTGAAGAAAAAAATAACGTTGCAATAATTTCAGGCTGCAATAATTATAAACCAAAATGAAACATTCTATGTAAGTCAGAGAAAAACTTGGGGGTTATTATTTTTTCATTCTTTCTCAGCCTTTCCTTTTCACCATTTTTATTTCTTCCCACCAAACCAATCTTTTTTTCTCCAGAGTTTTTGGATCAGCTAGTACCAACAGACCTGGCTTGACTTCAGGCAACCTCTGTGTCTCAGCTTCTCTACATCTAACATAGGGAAAAAAGATCCTGACCTACTTTGCAAAGTGCTCGGAGATCTGCAGAAAAGCCACATTTTGCAATTTTAAAACCATATGTTTGGTCTTTACAGGTGTTCCGTGGTTTTCCTCCAGGTGTTTGCATGTCTGCTTCGCCATGGTTTAGGAGGATTATGGCAGACTGCAGGCAGACAGCATGTGCTGATGGTGGATAAGCCTCCTCCTCTATGTTCTTTCCCTGAGAACACCTTCTCTATTACTTCATTTAACAGTACTTTTAAATCTGTATTTTAAAGCATATCTGTGAATATCTCCTTTGTCCTGCTGTGTTTTAATTAACTCATCCCGGCTGCTGTTTCTTATTATGCATCTCTGATACTTTATTAATTAACACTGTGCAGATACTGAGGAAGTTGGTATCTAAGATGCTATAAAGGATGAAAGTGTTTATCACTAAGAAACAAAATAATGAAGGCAAAAGTTGTGTTTTCATCCGCCAACAATGACAAGCAGAATGTCACTGGAGATGTGACTTTTTTTTTCCCCCCTAAAACAAGCTCTATAACTAAAAAGTGCTAAAAGTGAGTATTTCTTTGGTACAGATGTATTTATCACTATTACTGTGTTGATACTGTTTTGCAGTGTTACCTGTGTATTTATAAGAAGTCCCGTTCACAGACGTGTACTTTATCTTGAGGCTTCAATTGCCGGGTCAGCTCCATCTCACTTGGTGATGGGCATTTGAATGAGTAATGATTTTCTTGAACAATCTTTGCTTTGCCAATATTTCAACTCCTTTGCTGTTCCTATTCTAGATAAGTTGTTTCAGTGGAAGCTTTTTCCCTCAATATCCTTCAACTTGCAAAATTAAAAAGAATCTCAGCTCTTCACCAACATAAAATTTGTCTAATACATTGCCAACATCACCTGCCTTTCAACTTGTTGGGTTTTTCTAAATCAGTTTAAGCTTGTTCAGGTTGTTTGGGTTTGGTTTTGGGTTTTTTTTTTTCCTTAATCCCTCTACTGACTGGTTTATTTATTTATTTTGCTTTTCTATGATACTGTTTTTACCCATCTGTTTAATCCATGACCCTACCCCAGGCATGCAGACTGTGTGTAGCCCAATGAGTGGTCTGTGCAAAGAAAATAATTGTACGAATCCCTCAGGAAGCTCGACATGAAGACTAAGTGCTCCATAAGGGCAGCGATCCGATCGGAGAGTTCCTCTTCCTCCCAGGCTCCTCTTGCAGCCATGTGTATTTCCCACTGCCTTTCCTGTGCTCTCCAGTGACAGAGTCCTTTTCTTCTTTCTTCTTTCTTAAACAGGTGGGCTCTGCATTGCTCAGTCCCTGAAAATCCCCCAGGATCGCAAGGACAAGACCATCGACTTTGATAAAATTATCAAGCAGCTCCTAGAAACTCCCAATGCCAGGGCCATCGTTATTTTTGCCAGTGATGAGGACATAAAGTAAGGATGACTGAGGGAATTAATTCACTTGTGCTTCATAGCTATGCAGAAAAGAGGAAGCAAGTAAGAATATGAATAGTGAAGTGGAAATGTCTGTTGTTAAGAGCAATGTGGATTTTCCGTCGTGGAGGGTAACACCAGGCACAGCGGTGCTGCTATTGCTGCCCTGGCTCACGTGGTGCCCCAGACCGTGCATCGCTGTAGTGGGGAGACGGGAATGTTGATCAAGGTCTGGAAGCTTTCCCTGCCATAGGGTTGCTCATGCGTTGGAAGGCAGACCTGACCTTACCTCTCAAAGAGGCGTTAAGAAGATGCCCCTCTCTCCAAGCTCATGCTTCTATGTATTATTCATTAATTCAGAGTCTATTTTATGGCAAGTGATGGTTACTAGTGATAAAATGGCTTGGATGCTCAAGGTTAAAGCACATAAGGTGCTCAAGGTTTAACCACGTACGACTTGCTCATAAAATAATATAAAAAGTATTTTAAAATATTCCATATTCTCTCTCCAGAATTTTAAATTAGCTTAAAATTCTGATGGCATTGTCAATTGCTGAGAGGATTAGTTAAACAAAATGAGACACAAAGAAGTTAGGATAAAGTTTCAGTAAAGTCAACGGCAAAACTGTAAGTTTTAGTGGAATCAAGATTTCAGTCTTAGGATATAGGGTGAATTAAAAGAGAGGTCCAATCTGTGCTGCATGGATCGTGATATGGTGTGTTGCAAAATTCCTGAGCTCTGTTGGTTACAGGAATATGCTATTTCTGTTCATTCTGCAGTTGCAACACAGCATTTTTCCCAAGCAATTATATGTTTAAATGAAAGTAATTTGTGAACAAAATGTTCTTTTCCGCAGGCAAATCCTTGCGGCCGCTAAGAGGGCAGATCAAGTCGGTCATTTCCTATGGGTGGGCTCGGACACGTGGGGCTCCAAGGTGAGCCCGTTACTTCAGCACCATCCTGCCCAAGCGAGCGACCATAGAGGGTAAGAGCTCCCTTCTGCTTGACTCCCTCTCCTGCTTCCTGAAATGCTGGTGGTACAAAAGTGATCGCCCGTATTTTTTTCTCGTATGTGTTTTGTGAATAAATGTGTACAGACATGGTATGCTACAAAGAGTATAAAGTATACTGAGCAAGTCTTCATCTCCTGAATTTTCCTAAAAGTCTGTGTTCCTCATCTGAAAACTATAAGTTATTTCCACAGCTGAGAAGCTACCAGCAGTTATTTAATAAAGGCACGATTTCAGAGCTTATATTAAGCTGTGGTGATATGACAGAACCTTTATCACTTAAAAGAAAGTAAACCAAAATGATCTTAACATATCATGTATATACATAGGAAGAGAAAATCTTGCAATTCATGTATCATCTCTGATATCTCAGTGGATAAGTTTTCTACTGAAGAAGTAAAAATTCATTTTTAAACCAGCAGTTTCCATTTAAACTTAGCTTAACTTTCATTTCATTCAGATCAAGCACTATATTGATTTATACATATTGCTTATGTGCTTCACAAATATATGTACTTGTACATATATGCATGTGTATATAAAAATTATGGGTAACTTTTTTTACATAACCCCTTTGTTTCTCAACATTTCCTTGTGTTCTGAAGTGTTTGTTGTCTGATCTTTCCTCAATTTGTTATCCCTTTTGTCTGCATAGATGCTTAACTATCCAGATGGCTTCCTCTGGGCAAGCCAAACTCACTGATTAGAGTCCATGTTCTCTATAATATGCAAAGAAAAGTTCTTTACAAGGGACACACTGAGTAAAGAAAACAAACTCCTCGGCTGGCACATGGCTTTGTGTCAGGCAGGGTCTCCACAGAGTCCCTGAACGTCTTGCCCACATTAAAACAGGTTCTGGTGTCTTCACTCACTGGAAAACCAAATATTTGCATTCATTTTTATTGTGTCTGCACTACCATCTCACTAGTTATTCTTCTCAGGTATATAATGTGCTTCATCCTTTTACATTTCTAAAACCCTGGAGGCATTTTTGCATGTTATTTCTCCATAAATACATAAAGTTGATAGACAATGAAGTGTTTTGTTTCTGAAAACCAGGATACTTTAATAATCTTTTCATACTGTCTGTATTCATACCTGAGGGTTTCTGGGACAGAAATTAAAAGTCTGCCAACAGTACACAGAAATAAAAGCTTTCCAAGTTTGTTTAAAAATATTTTCCTTCTATATTACACATTAAACACATTGGACATAATGGGAAACATGAGTTTTGCTTTTGGACACAATAAGTGACGATAACAGAGTGGAAGCGTTCAGATATAGAAAGTCAGTTAAATAACAGTTACAAATATCAGCGTATTTAGTGTATCTGCAAAAAAAAAAAGGTCCATTGAGCCCGCAAATATCTTCTTATTCAGTGAATATAGCCTATATGTATATATTCTGTATTCTATTGCCTAAAAGTTAGCTAGTTGCATTTTGCACTTGTAGTCACATAGATTGCATGATTACTTGTTTGTGATGCTTAAATTACGTTTTCCCTATATATGTAACTGTGTTCATTCTTCAGGAGCGGCTGCCATTCAGCAGACACATATTTTGAGGTCCGTGAGTTGCATGTTGCTTTCCAGAAAGGGAAAAACAGTCAGCCAGAAGTAGGTACTGTACTTGGTATGAAAGGAGAGGCAGAGCAAAGTGTCCCAGAATAGCAGTTGCAGTGCCAATAGCAAATGTCTCCTGGCTGCTCTGTGACCGCTCAGAAAGGTTTCAGGCTGGTTCTTACCTTTTTCAATCCCGTCCATCCATCCCTAATTGCCATCTGTATCTGCCATCTGCTTAGTCCTGTTAGGAGGAGGAGTAAGGGGATGGTTAAGAGTGCAGAGCAAATTCCCATTCTCCTGATGCAGTTTTCCAGAACTCAACATTTCTCTTTTCAGACTGATTCCGTTTCTGTTTCGTCCACTAAGAGAAACATCCAGTGAAATCTGTTACTTACAGAAGTAAGTAATCCTTAGGTATTAGCATTTCTTTGCTTAGTGAGGCTGTTATTCGTATGGACTGTCTGCCTTTCTTGCATTTAGACTGCTGTATGTTGTTTTGTTTTTCTTTCTGTTGTTGTAGTAATTTCATTTGGCCATGAATCCAAGAGAACTGGAAACAGACATTTTAATGTTATTCTTTTATCATCCAGCAATGAACATCTGCTTCCTAAAATTTAGTAATGCATTTCTTTGGATGAAGACATAAAATAAATGAAATAAGAAGCCTTGATTTTCGCTATAAATTGATGGAAACAAACTAAATTAGCAGGATGGAACTCAATTTGCCCCGAAGGACCGTGTCTTGAGCAGTATCCCAGCCTAGCAGTCTCCTTTTTGTGTGGTGGTGTGCAGCAGTGCTGCCGCCTGCCCCTGCGGCTCACAGGCTCCAGGTCAAGGCAACAGCTAAGCACCAGCTTAATTCCCACTGGATTTGGTGGGAACTTCTTTATTAGTCATGAATGAGGGGGTTACCCTTATTTTACTCCTCAGGAGCATCTTTATTTTTTCCTTTCCTTTTATCACTGTGTTAAATAGTATTTGCAATATGTTGGAAAAAGATTCCTAACAAACTTCACTGGAAACAGAGAGCACTGCAGCTCCGATACCTTAACCTGAAATATGTGATACTGCTAGCCTCTTCTCACTCTTCAGGGAAAAATGTTAGGCTAATAAGCCAAGAAATGTTAAATTGCATTGAAAATTAATGTGCCTGCATGTTCAAGTGTATATGGTACACTTTGGATTATCAGATTTTTTTATGTCTGTAAAGCTATTGGTCATATAAGTCATAAACTGAAACAGTCATTATATAGAAAAAGGCATTTTTCAAATAACTCTTCTCCCCAAGCTGTGACTCTTCAATCCAAAATACAGATGTGAAATGTAGGTGTGTTGCTGTGTTTACACCTATCTAAATATATACCATTTGAAGCTCTTATTTTTGGTAACAGTGGGAATATCCCGGCAGCCTCCAACTCCAGAGAGAGTCTAAAGCACTCGGTTTCTTGTAGAATCAGGCCCCAGATACGCAGTTATTTGTCTTGATACTTGATGTCGCTCTTGGGACAAAATTTTCATTGCCATAGTCCCATGGGGTGACTTAAGAAATCATTACATGAACTGAATTCATTCATCTTAAGTCAGTCTTAATATAGCCTGATGTAATTATGCTGAAAGGATGAAGTTGCATCTTATTTGCATAACTGCAGTAGACAGTGAGCCAGAGGAAGTGCACACTTAAATAGTAATCACTTCATGAAAAGTTGAGTTTGGAACAAGCTCCATAGCCAACTTAACCAAGTATCAACTAAGTTGAAAGGCTTTGCCAGGTTTTCAGGGAAAAAAAGCAGAATGTATTTATTTTCAGAACAACTATGGCAGCAGAATATTGTGTGCTGGTTATTGTTGCTTTGAACTCTTCCAAAAAAAGGTTGTGACGGCGTGTCCTCACACTTAGAGAAGATTACTAAAACATCAGCCCAGTCCTGAAACTCAGCGTATGCTCAGAGGAACAAGCCCAGTGTTGCATCGCAGAACTGCAAGTATCTGTGCTTATGTGTGTAAGAGTTTGCAGTCATATGCCTTGTTTTGAATAGTCTTTTACTCAGAGTATATCCTTGTAACATTTTTGTGAAGAGGTGTAATGTAACCACAGAGCGAGCGTTAGTGCTGGAAGATGAGAAAAATCAGACAGTTTAAACAACAGACAAAAGCTGTATTTTCTAATTAAAGTTTGAATGGGATGTATTATTATTATTATTATATTCATTTTACAATAATTTAGAAATGATGAACTGTGGCTCTGCATGCATTTGACATTAAAACAACACCACAGCAGAAAAAAGTCCGCAAAAAGTCTTTCTTCTCCAAAATGCATTTGATGGGATTTTACCTACTGCTGCTTTGTTCCCCGGAAACCCTTGTTCTTCATTCACCTGAATAGAAAGATAAATGTTGCACGTGGGGGAGATTCCCGTGTCAGTTTGGTGTTGAAGAACAGAAAGAGTGCCCTGCTAATCACGGGAAGGGTGAAATGCCGCGAAGAGGAGCAAGTGTGAGCTACAGGAGAATTTCGGTCAAGCGAAAGCGGGCTGTTATGGAGTACTGATGCTATCAGGATCACGGTAAAAATGGGAGATGTTGAGACAAGTATAACAAGTCCCCAAAATTTCAAGTGCCAGAAGGAAAATGGAAGCACAGTGGAAAATGAAAAGTTGAGACTTCAAAAAAACAGTGTTTTGTTCTTGCAGTTCAGCTGAGCTACTCGCCTTCAGACTAGCAAATTACTGTTCGTGGTTGTCTTTTCTTTAGGCAGTGATAGTCTAAGAGAAAGTTGTTCATTTGCTGCATTTTTCATTTGAAGTCCCAGAAGCTTTGTAGACCATCCAAACCAGCAAGAAACAAAATATGGAAACGCTCCCTGGATTCTCGTGGGATGGACCATCATTCCAGCTGCGGACTTCCCCGGATGATGGCTGCGATGAACTGCAACCCTATTTCTTTGTAGATGGAAATGAACTTCTTCCACACTAATCTTTTTAATCACAAACTGACCTTTAAGTATTCCACTGCCACTTTACCTCTTCACGTTTCAGTAGATTTAATAAACTTCAGAGCATTTCCTCCTCTTGTTATCACTGCTCTACCCAAAGCTAATTACACATTTTAGCTGCCTAGGGTAGCTCTCTTTATTACACTATATAGATGTATATAAGAGTTAGCCGGATGACCCTCTTATTAAAGATGATACTACTACTGGTCCAGACATCAATTAAAGTTCTCCCTAGCAGGCAGATTCAAAGTCAGGAGTTCCTAAATTCTTTCCCTGGAGGACGAGCAGATCTTCCTGCCAGTGATAAGAAAATATCTGTGGCATGAGGGATGGAAAAGCCTGGTCCTTTTGGAGCAGGTTTGTGCAGTACTTCCTGAATTCAATATGGAAAGCTGTTGGACAATGCATGTCCAGAAGATAC